AAATAAGCTACTCCTGAAATTTTTGTGTAATTTTTTGCCCAAAAATGGTAGCTTATTTTCGGGAATATACGGTATATATAGAACAAGATATTTATTAAATAAAGCATTGTAGTGGGCCTAAAAATTTAAACTATAGAAACTTAATATTACTTTATTATAATATATAGTTCTATTCAAGCATTAACAATGACCAACAAAAATTTAAACTTGAATTCACCTGTGCTGCCTAATAATGAACAATTAGAATTACCACCTTTATATACATTTCCCTTATTACAGAACCCAAGCAATTTAATTAATCCAGTTGAGCAAAATTCTATAATTTACTTATTACTTTATTATAATAGTTTTATTCAAGCATTAACAATGACAAATGAAAATTTAAACTTAAATCCATCTGTGCTGCTTATTAATAATGAGCAATTAGGATTACTATCTTTATATTCGTTTTCCTTATCACAAAATAATTTGATTAATCTGGCTAAACAAAACTCTAATAGTGCTATTAACATACCCGAACCTTCTTTTTTATCAAATGCAATACCAATATCTAGTATCTTTGATAGTGATATTAATATACCTGAATTCTTTTCTTCATCAATTGCAATGCCAGTATTTGGTATCTCTGATAGTATTATTGCAAATGCTGTATCTGATATCTCTAATAGTGTTATTAAAATGCTAGCACCTAGTATGGATTTTAGATCATGAGATGAAATTGATAAATATTTGGATGCCTATTGCTATTCAAAAAACTGTTCTAAAATAATTTATGAAGTGAAATATGAAGATCAAATACAAAGACGTTGTTGTTATCAATGTAAATATTAGGGCTAGTTTCGAGGTAAAAAGAAGACAATCATTGAAGAATAGTGCAATACACGTTTCAAATATTGTGGATGCCCATGGTTTGTAAATGCTATATGCCCCAAGACAACAGATGCAATTAGCATTACCACAGTTTTTTTAGAACACAAAAATTATCCTCTAGATCTAATTGCTAATAAATTTAATATTACAAACTGAATATTCACTGAGCCAATATTGGCTGATATAAAATTATAGACTAATAAAGGGAATCTTAATATGCATACTTAGCGTCAGTTGCTTGAAGCAAAATATGAAAATATATTTTTTTTACCACAAGATTTATCAAATGCAATTCAAAGGGTAAAAGCAAAACAACGCATTAATAATAAAGCTGCAACATTGATCAATCATTTTCTTGAATCTAAAAATGAAAATATAAGGTAAATTGTTAATTGGCGTGTAGATCCTACAACTAATTCTTTAATATCTTTATTTTGGATGACTCCCGATCAATATAAACTTTATATTAAATATAGTAATGCTATACAATATAACAATATATATTCGACTAATTAATTTAAAATGGCATTTGGACTTTTAGTGATTATTGATAATAATAATTTGTCATGTTTAGTTAGACAATCATTAATGAGTGATGAAATATTAGAAAGTTTTGAATGGGTATTTTGTTCTCTAGTCCAGCCAACAAAAACTTATCCTTCAGTTATTATAACAGACAATGACTTAGCTATTGATGTAGCAATTGCGAATATAATACCAAACACATACTATATATATTGTATATTTTATATTGGACAGAATTTGTTAAAGAATCTAAAATCTAAATTGGGTTTGGAGTTTAATGACTTCTCTAATGCTTGGTATAAAATGAGGAATACATTGTCATTATCTGAATTTGACCGTCTTTGGGCATTAGGAAATTTTTTAAGCTAATAAGTAACGATTGCTAACAACTAATCGATTATTATTAGTTAAATTTAATTAATAATAATTGATGGTGGTGTTTGCTATTGGCAAATATCCCTATTGATTTTAATTGATAATGTTAATAATCAATAGTTTCTAATAATTGATTACTATCAAT